AAAGTCCATGTAGGATGCTAAGTTGGAGATTTGGTATCACAATACGTTTAAGAAATTCTCACTTGTTTACTTACAGTTCATGGATCATCCTGAAGTTATTCCTGGACATGTGATTTCCAAATACACTGTTTCTGTCTCATAAAAGACTGGAAACAACTTCCATATGCAGTTGGAAAGGGAAGTGACCCTTCTTTTATCTGCATATATTCACATAACTTGTGATTCAGGCAACAAGGTTACAAATTTTACAAGACAGGCTTGGTGTCATTAATCACACAAAGAGTGCCTGCATGTGTAAAAAATTCTCATATTACTTTTCTGTAGCCCACTGTAGTGAATTATTAAATGACATCGCAATCGGCATCTTCAGGATTAAGTCAATAAAACAAGGAATACTCCTTCTACTGTCCTTTGTTTTGCAACTTTTTTCCTTTGTGCTATATTACAGCGGTCACCAACTGGTGGTCCGCGGACAACTAGTGGTCCATGAGAAAATGTTGGTGGTCTGCAGAAAAATTATTTGCAATTTTTATATTGCACTAAATACTATTTTTTTAAAAAAAACATATTAGTGGTCTTCAGGATTTAAAATTATGAATTTAATGGTCCCTGAGGTTCGAAAGGTTGGCGACCCCTGCTATATAAGACCACAATAGTATAATGATGATGGTAATGATGATAGGGTAAACAGTTGAAGACATTTGACAATGTAAGACACATAAAACACTAGCTCAAATCTTTTATAATTGCAAAAATGTAAGCCATTATATAAATACTGGAATGTGATTGGAAAAAAATCAAAACAGGTTATGAAATAAAAATATGGTGATCAACCAGAATCTACAGTTTATGGGTGATCTGAAATTCTGAAGGAAACTATGTATCTAAAAAGGAAAAAAAAATCATCTGGTTGTACATGTATGTATTTTAAAGCCCATACATTAACAGATGCTCCAGCAGAACATATGGCTAGGAATTAAAAGATAACGTGTACATGAGAATGTCAGATAAATAAGATAATGGTTAAATTCCCTTCCTTTTCTGTCCTATTTGCTAAACACATGAAAGCAAGATGAACTGAACATAGCTCTGTATCTAGCAAAAATATTCAATATTATTCATTCAGTGCCATGCTGCAAAAATTAAATGTTAACCTACACTATGTACACTTTTCTACATTATCTTCAACTGAACTTAATTGTCCTTTAAATACTGAGTCATTTCATAGGTTACAGAATAGGACTTAGAACTCTGTATTCATTGCAGATTAATAGTCAGTTGTGTTTATGGTCACAGTTATTACGGTTTGTGAGAATGCTGCTGCCAATATTGCTTGGCTAACATAACCAGTGGTGGTTCAGCCTATGTTTCCAAGTTCTTGGCATCCACAAATAAGACTGGGGGAAAAAAAACTTACCTGAAACCTTAGGGAACTAGTCCTGTTTAAGACACCTTTTTATATCTCCAGTTATCTCATGTTCAGATAACTTCAGATGAGATTATTTATCCAATTATTATTCTTTATTCCGCCTGATTCAGGTTCTCCACTATGGGAGCAGCTGGATCCTTAAAAATAGCATAAAGAATATTCTCTGCAAAACTTTAAGTGTCCTCGCAATGCTGAGGAAGCTTCAGTGTAAATATCTAATTAATTTGATTCTTTTTCAAGGAGAATTGTTTTCAGAATATGAATATTGCTTTGGTAAGTATGTCTTATGCATCCCAACAGTCTTATTTTAGACTCAGAAGTTGCTTTCAAAATTGCTTTATTCAAAAGCTAATTTTTTTTTTAATTGAAATTCTCCTAAATGGGTATGTGGTTCTGCACTCACTTCTGTTGTGAGGTGAACAAAGAGAAGGAACGCATATTAGATCTGTTTTTCAAATCTCTCTGGATAAGCAGACTTCCTGGTTTCCCAGCTTCAGTTAAATCTCAAGGGAAGATGCCATGAGCTGCTTCCCATTTGGGTTTGTTAAGGTCAAGGAGTTCTAAGGGAATTGAGGAGAAATGAAAGATGGGCGGCAGGTATAAAAAAAGCAGCAGCAATTCTTCACTCTCTCACGAGAATTTAAAATAATAAGAGTAAGAATAACCTAATCATGGAGGTGACTCTTTCACAAGACAAAAAATGTTAGCATATCAAATGTCAAATGTTAACATATTAGTAGTCATAGCTACAGTTGAAAGAGGAAACATTTTCAATTCCTTTGTTTAAATAAAAAGAATGTTCACCAACATTTTCACCCAATGTAAAAAATCCAACCAACATTTGTGAGTAGAGTTTTTGGTAAAATACCAGATGATTTGGAGACATGAACAAGGCTATCTGCATACTTTAGGATGTATCTCTACATCACTGGATATTGATGGTTTGGGTTTGAAATAAAAAGGAAAACTAATATTGCATTTTAAATGGCTTAACTCATGCAATAACATCAAAATAATTTATTTTTGGAAAGTCAGAGGAATTGCAATTAGATATTGAAGAACACTTTTAACAGGAACATCTTCAGAAAACAAGGAATTGTAAGTCTCTTTAGAAATATAAGGTATTTCTGAAATTAATTACAGTAAATCACTATCTCACATGAATCCAAGTTCAGAGGCACCTGGGGATGGGAGAGGAAGTAGGTCTGAGTTTAAAGAATCTTCCTTCCTGAAAAAAGTATCAGTAGCTGACATGTTTTGACTGATTCATTGTATTTCTAATCTAGCTAATTACAAGAGTTATAAATAACTCACAAAGTTATTTGGGGCACCTGAAATCAGCAGTTCAAAATAATACAGCACTAAACCATATTAATAAGCAGCATGTAAAGATATAAAACTTTCCAAAGACCATGGTTTAATTCATATTTCATTATTAATTGAACAATTCAATCAATATTTCAATTTCTGCCAGTGAAAAGCTATTGTCTCTGGTAATAATTGTAATTAAAAACCAAACCAAACCAGAATATTACAGAAGGTTTTGGAAACATGAGAAGGATTCTTATTCTTTGTTCCACCCCATCAGTTGGAGTCACTGAAAGACATGTAGCAGATTATGCAACCTATTGATTATTGACAATTAAAAATCCTATTCAATTTGGCTGACTTGCTGAGTCTCTATGAAAGATCTTTCATAATATCTCAATGAAAATCAGTTTGGAGAAAGCTAGGAATGGGGAAACGGAGCACTGGGAGGGAAGGTGTGAGTCTGATCTCATCCTTAGTTCCATTTACTAAATTATTATACTGCCCAGCAGTATAATAAACAATCATGGGACCACTACTTTATACAAAAGCAGAAATCATCGCTGGGTCAACAGTGCCTATATGATTAAACTTGCAAATTAGTGTAAGAACATACTGCTGCTTTTGTGTGATGTATTGGGAAAAAATGATAGAGATGAAATACTGATTCACTTTCAGCGCTCAAATATCTGCACATGTTTACCATTTCTCAGAATATATTCAGAAATAAGACAAGAAGCTTACTGTTTGCAGCTCTCTGTTTTGGGATTCATACAATAACAGTACAATCAGTAGGGCACCTACTGAACTTAATAAAAGTTGTCAGTACTAAGGTTGTTTCCATATTTCTTCTTCTCAGATCATAAATTGATTATGAGTGGAAATGTATTCTCAAAGTATTTTTAGCTCAGGATATTACTTTGCATGAATACAGAACAGCAATGCAATATTCATACTTCGTTCTGCTAAAATAGGCAGCATTATTTTATTTTTAAAAATAGTACATTCTTTATTTTAAATTGAGGCTTTGAATAATAATATTTGAATAATAATATTTATATTTGTCTCAATTAAAGAATATATTACAAGTAATCATAACAATAATAAAATTGAACATAATGAATATAATAAATATACAGTACAATACAATGTAATTTAATAAACATTATATAATATCCTTATTTGGTTCATAACCTGCAGAGAATTTTTTTGCATTTTTAATTTTAAAATAAGGTTATGAATTAGATTAAATTTATTTTTGCTGAATTTAGTTCCCATTTAAATCAATGGAACCATCATTAGTATTTGATTTTAAGGAGCCCAAATATAAATATAGTTGTATTGCTATATTGATTAATTTGACAGCAAATTCAGTTGAACATATAGTACATGTGTCATGTGTTCATATGTGCTTATGGACAAATATATAAACATGAAAATTTACTATATAGTATGGAATTTATTTTTTTAACCTGTTTAGAATAAACATAAAAAAATATTTTTTAGAAACAGTGTAGGTTATCCTATTAGAAAAAAAATCATATGAACTGTAAACGCATAAAAATGAAAATATGAGATCAAACTATACAGCGGCTGAAAAATGTGGCTTATTTATAGAATAATTTACAATTCTATCCAAGTTAGAATGTTTGGTCATATCACACATTTCTGAATAAGAATTGCTAATGAAAGTGATGTAGCTGGTTGCTTACAATATTTCTCAACATGTTTAATAAATTGGGGCATAGTTCAATGAGAGTGTTTCATTTTTCCCAGTTTAAAAAAAGACTAGGATTTTCAAGGGCTGATCTTTCAGGATATTAATCTCTTGAAAATTTGTTTTATTGGTGTTGCATATTATATGCTATTTTTCTGTCTAAAGTATTTTTGCTAAATGTTTCTGCTTGCGGCAATTAAAAGACTTGTTGGCTTAGAGTGCATTGAAAAAGACATTAAACCGTTCATGGCAAACGGATAATTATTATTTTTTAATTAATAATGATTTTAAAAAATCAAATAAAAGAATACATGAAAACTTCTGCAGTAATGAGAAAAAACAAATTGCACAATAAGTTGATGGAGATATTTCATATGTGAAATGTGCTTCTAAATAACTGTATTTTCAGTCATTTATCAAACAGTCATTTGTATTTTCAGCCTACCAATTATCTGAATTTCGGAGTGGGGGAGAGAGAGGGTTTTCCAAAGCACAAGCTCAGCAAGAGAAAATGGGTTTCTTCGTATATTTCAGGAAACAAGGAAATACAGGTCCTCTGATCTCCCTTAATAAATTCAGAATATTTTATCAGTAGCAATAGTTAGGAATTTGAGTTCGACCAACTCATTCTATATTCTCTCCTGAGCATCACTTCTTCGCTGTTGTCGTTTTTTTTTTTTTTTTTACTTAATGTCTCTAATTGTAGATGTGAGAGATCTTTGTTTCTCAAAAGGAGAAAAGATGGGCAAAAGCTAAACTTAACTTGAAGGCTATCCAGGAGTCACATGCTATAATCCACAGTGTGAATGTTGGAGTTGAAGAGTTCATCGCAGGGCCTTGAGCAATGAATCATTCGTAGGTTGGAGAAAATAATCCATACATTTTGCACATTAAGGAGTTAACTTAAAATTTGATGGCCAATTCACGAAGCTGCAGGAAGGTAAGCATCTTTTATTTTTCATTCTGTGCTAGGGGCTTCAGTGAAAGTAATCAAATATCTAGACAATTGCTTCTGTTAGAGCTGTTAAAAGCAAACATCCTTTGTCGTAGCAGAGAAAACCTGAATGGATGCAGTATTTCCTTCGATGAAAGGCAGATAACAAAACACAATCTTTAACAAAACACAATAGACAAGACTAATAAAGGTGCCTGGATGAACTGCTGGGTTTGTCTTCCTCGAATGAACACAGAATAATGACTATCATCATCAGAAGCAATATCCAATATTCAACACGCATATTGTAGAAAATGTACCTTTGTTTTTCAGAGCATTTCCAGTGCAACTTCAATTTGACAATTTATTGAAATCAAATGAAATTATTTTTTAGTAAGGAGTGTTTATTTGCATGTGTTTGCACACGCATATGCAGTTTTACTATGTGCTAGAAATTATTGTTCCAAAAGTTTCCTGATTATAAGATCGTTTAGATATTACAGCAATATGTTGTATCAATTTTTAAACAAGCTGTGCATGAATTCCCTTCCAATAACTTTTCATATGATTTTAGCTATTGTTAATAAATCTATTCACTTCGGCTGAAGCACTGTGCTATTTTGATATTTACAAAACAAAGCAGAATAATCTGAAATCCTACTGATAGAACATCCATATGATATGCATTTTTCATTTTTTTTTAAAAAAAACTGACTTTTCCTTTTCAAATATTAAATAAGTCAGTTGATATGATAAAGCTTTATTAGTATATTTCAAGACCAGTTACACAGATCTGAAAGAACTTATGTGATACAATATGAAGAATAAATTATAGTTTTTTAAGAATAAATCTTTCTGTAATTAAGTATTTAGCCTGATTTAATGTTCTCTCCACAGCTGTTTTGGAAGGGAAGTATAGGAAACCCCCTTATGAAATTTAATACTGACACAGGTGCTATAAAAACTACTTCCCCTATTATTTTGTATAGGGACATTTGCCATCAATTGATTGCCCTTTTTTAATCTAAATTTCTGGGGCATTCTGATAATTTTTATTTGCATTGTTAGACAATCAAATCTATTTCTCTAAAAGTAGGCATCTGCTACATTATATATACTGTAAGCTTTGCCCCCAAATGGTTGCCAACAATCATTGATGTTTTGATTGTTTTACTGAATGTATTATTATTGATCAATCACTGAAATAAAGTTTCTGTTTGTCTGCCTGCCTGCCTGCCTGCCTGTCTATCTGAGAGAAAAGTGCATAATAGACAATGGTTGTTAGAACAATTGAAAGTCTATGATGAAGCATCACACCATAATATGACAAGCAGCTCATTTTATTAAGTCCAAATTATCTCTGTACTTGGATATATTTTTAAAACTGGATGTAAATATTTTAGGTTATTAGAACTAGAGATACTGTCTATGAATTGTACGTAGATAGATCTGCTTCAGGATTTTAGGACTGATATAGAAGTTTAAAATGGATCCTATATGACTTCTTTTTCCTGTAAAACATTGATAAGAACGGATATTTGTCTGTCTGTTAGAGGAAGATATTGTCACAAGAAGAAAATGACTTGAGAATTACCAAGGAAAGTGGTGGGTGGAAATCAGAGTCCAAAGTGCTCAAGACTATCCATCCTCTTTTGTTCTTACTCATTTTCTCTCTTTTTTTCCAGCAATCTCTTTCTCCTCTTCTTTTTCAGATAACAGGCTTCTGGATAATAGCCAGATTACTTTCCCCAAAGAAAGCCCTTAAGTCTTGGATATGTTGTCAGGCCTGGGTCTCACAGGCAACTGGAGATCTTTTCAGATGGCTCCATTGTTGAGGTTACCATTTTCTTAATCCCTATCTTTTGGGTTGTAATTTTGCTTTTATGATATTTATTAATAAAATATTGTATACTTTTTTGTTCTTATTGATTCTTGTATATTGCTCAGAGTCATGTTGGATGAGATGAATGGGTCTATAAATTTGATTAACTAACTAACTAAATAAATAAATACTTTCCAATTAAACTGAGGCTACATGAGATTAATTGAAGGCTACATGAGAACAGGAAGAAAGGAGGAGAAATTTCAGAAAGTAAAATAAACAATGACAAAAGTGAATGGTTTATTTGTTTGCTTGTTTAGTGCCTTCAAGTAATTCTTGACTCCTACCAACTGTATGGACAAGTCATGCAGTTTTCTTAGCAAGTTTATTTACCATTGATTTTATTTATTCCTAGAGCTGAGGAATGGTTTAGCTGGCTTTATGGGAAAAGCTGAACTCAAAGTCACAGTCTCCAAAGTTCTAATGTATTACCTTTAACCCGGACTATATCAAACTGGCCTTCAATGGTTTGCTTTAATACCCTCCTCCAGGTAAATGTATAGGTAAATATATATACCATTACTCACTAGATTATTTACTGGCTGTACACAATTTGAGATGTTTACTTGAGGGCTATTTAACATTATTTCCTTTTAATGTCTGTCCTGTTTGCTAATTCAACATATGGTATAATTATATATTTAACTTCATCGTTTTAAAAGGTGTAAAGATCCATGTAATGTACAACAGAATTATTAATGCATGATAGTTCAGTGAGGATGAAAAACTAAACCCATCAGAATTATTCTACCAGAAACGCAGCATATATTTGACAATGTACAATACTTAAAAGTTAACACCCAGGTATGGGGTTGGAATTAGGAACTGATCACTCCCCAGAAGCACTGTGTATTTTTCATTTTAGATTTGGAGGATAGCAGCAAATAGGAAGAGGCAGAATTGCGTCAATTTTTAGAACATAAACCCAATGGAACTGTGTCAGCACAAAAATGCTCCGATTGGCCCCAGTAATCATTTTATTCACTGAATGTACCTAATCTTTGACTGATGCCAGCAAATTTAAAAATGCAGATTTTATAATTATAACATCTACTAAAGATAAAAAAATAATGAATACGGTTTAATCATAACTACACAAAAGAGCTCTGGACAGGTGACTGCCTGTGTATATAATTCCTCTATGCAACTGAAAATATACCGTCCCATACAGTTGCCACAATTTTTAAAATATATTATATACTATTTGTTTAGTAATTTCTCTCTGTGTAGTAAACCTTAGCCTGGGGGCCTTCATGTCTATTGAGCCTCATCTCCCATAATCCCTAGCTTGGAAATTCATTATTCTTGATAGAGTTTACAGCCTTCAGCGTCTGATACATCTGCAGAACCCCAGGTTCTGGAAAGCTGCAATAAACCCTTCATTTTTCATTTGTTGGTGGTTCTTGTTTGCAATACGTTCTGTTACTGAAATTTATGCATATCTATGAATAATTATGCAAAATGTTTTTATTCACTCATTTGAAACTTTCTTTAGGATACAAAGCTCTATGCATCTCACAAACTGAATGTTCTGCCAAACGAGTTTTCTTCAGGATTTTTTATCCCCTATAGTAGCTGAAGATTTCAAAATATCTCCCATCATTGCAATGTAGCTATGGAAACCTGTGACTCTCCAGATGTTGAAGCATTAGAGCTCTCAGTATCTCTCACCATTAGTTCAGTCTTCTGGGACTTTTGAATGTTGTATTTCAATAACACGTAGAGGCTGTAAATATCCTAATATCCTGTACAAATAGGAGAGAAAAAAGTGAATAGTAGAAAAAGAAGTGAGGATTTTTATTAATGACCGCTGAGCTGTGAAATAACACTGTTTTTTAAAAAATCCTATTGTTCTTTATGTTCTTTACTCTCAGCTTAGTAGAAATACTCCTTATCTTTCATTAACTCAGGTCAGACTTGGGCTGGACAATTTTGTAATTTCAAAAAGTCACTTGTTTTTCTTGTCCTAGCGAAGAGTGGGCTGATGTGTTCAGAAGTTGATTTTTCTCCTTATATTGTAGGAAATCTCACAAGAAATTTATTCAAGTTATTTTCTCTAAGCAAAATAGTTGATTTCACCATCTCAGTTATCTGAGATGGCGAAGTCTCAATTTCAAAATTCATTCTTCCATTATAGGTATATTGTTCTGTTTCCCTCTTTAGGCATATAACAACCTTGCAGCCAGTGGTGGGATTCAACCAGTTCTCACCACTTCGGGAGAACCGATTGTTAACTTTCTGAGCAGTTTGGCAAACTGGTTGTTGGAAGAAATCATTAGGGCAGAGAACTGGTTGTTAAATTACTTGAATCCCACCACTGCTTGCAGCCAATGCATATATAAAAACAAAGTCCCATATTTTCTTTCCAATTGTTCATCTGCCATCTCTAAAAAAAAAGCTGAAGATTTGATTTTTATGTTCATTTTCAAACTTTTCGGAAAGTATTTTTCCGATTCCAGAATTTCTTAACTGTCTTATATGCCCACCAAAGTAACTTCAGACAGATTATGTTTCCACTATTTATAATTTTTTAAATTATTTGAAATACCTTAAAGCGGACATCATTTCTAATATTTCTGTTTAAATTTTCCATAAATAGAATAAACAGCAGTGGTGATAGAGGACAACATTGTCATGTTCAATTCTGTGCCTCATAGGGTTTGGTTAGCTCATCACTTACATGGTTTTGAGCTTTCTGTGGTGTATAAATCACCTATATCTCCTGGAATTTTTTCCCCCAAGTTCTGTTTTTTTCTACCACTTAAAATATAAAGTCCCAGTTCAAATTGTCAAAAGCTTTCTCTGCTTCTAAAAAAGTTATATACAGCTGGTTTTTCATTATGCTGTTGAAAGTATTCTATTATATCAACCATGTTTTCTGTTAACTGCTGACTTAACACAGATTGTTAAAAAAAATCCACGTTGATCCTCATGTGTAAAGTTCTATAAAATCTTTTTTAGTCACTCAGTTAATATAATTGAAAACAATTTATAATCATTATTCTAAAGGGAAACCCGTCAATCGTTCTCAGCAGAGGTTGGATCTTGACCTTTTTTAGAATTATGTTTAGGTATAACAGATCCTTGCATAATTGAGTTCATCAAATTCTTAAATGGAATTAATAGTTGGTCTTCAACATTTTTATAGTAAGTATTTGGCCCAGATGCCTTCCCTATTTGGGTTTTTTAAAAAATAGCTTGAGATATTTTCATTTTGAAAGTTGTTATTGGACTTTTCACAAATTGCTTTTGTGCTTTTGTGAGATAGTTTTGGCACCTTCTGATCAACATGTGCATTCCAGCCACTCCTTGTATCGAACTGTTAAGAATTAAATTGGTAGCCGGCAGCATGTGCTTTGATTAAAAGTAATATATATTTCCAAGAAAATGAAATATATTTTTGTGTGTACTAAATAGGAAATATTGGTGTTTCTTTTCTCCTCAGCAAAATCATGGCTATTTTTTTAAAAACAGAAAAGCTTTTATGGTAATGTTATTAAATTCACTGGTTTTATCAGAAATATTTAAAATCAGCTTAAAGTCAACTGAACTGACTTTCTTAATATCATAATATCTTTCTTGCCTTTATGTGGACAGTACTAATTTTATTTATTTCGTATCCATAATCCATTTCTTACTATCAATAATGTTGGGTGTTTTGTTTAATAGCTTTTTGTATAGACCTTCAATATCTTTAGGAGAAAAAAATATGGCATCAAATTATAGTATAACAGGGAGTTGTATTAAGTCACTCAATCATCTTTCACTGATTTAGTCCATAACAATTGACTTCAGTCACTGACAATAAGAGAAATATATATCTTGACAAGAAGCATATGGAATTATTAATTATAAATTTTCTAGTGGTATAATTCTTGGTAGGACAATAATATTACCCTTCATAACCATTGTTTTAAACTTGGATTAAGGGCACTAGCTTTTCACTTAATACAGAATCTCTCTTGAATAGTTTGAGCTAATTGCTTTCTTGTTACCTCAGAAAGTTGCTGTGGATATAAAATATGAGGAAAATCTGAAAATCTGAGATATACATACATACACACACACACATGTGTGTGTGTGTGTGTGTGTGTAGGTCTTTGGTTATTCGGGTTTTCTCTCGCGTAGAATTGGAGACGTGTCTTGGCCACGTTTTGACGAAGTCTCATTTGTCATCTTCAGACTGGTGTTTTCAGCTTCGTGCTTCTAGGAGCAATGTGTGATCGCAGCTGTTTCTTCCTTTTAACTGCTAGTGGGGTGTGAACTGATTGGGTGGGAACTTGGCTGTGTTCTGATTGGGTGGAGGTGTGTTCTGATTGGTTGGGGGTTGGCTGTGCTCTGATTGGATGGGGGTGTGTTCTGTTTGGGTGGGGGCTTGGTTGTGCTCGGGTTAGTCTGAGTTGCAGGGGGATTTGAGCTGGTGAGCTGCGTTGCTGTTGTTTGGCTTCATGTTCGTGGTTGTGCCACATCTTCATGGTGGGTATCAGTCTGCTTCATGTATGGATTGGAGGGGTTTAAAGTGGCTAATGATGCAGCTGCTGTCTGGCTTCTGGTCCGTGGTCATGCCTCACCATCGGTGTGGGTTTGAGTCTGATTTCTGCGTGGATGTGTGGTGGTGACATCCTGTGTGGCCCTCGTGAGTGTGGGTCTGGTGTCATTCCTCGTGTTAGGGACTCGTTTGTCAATAAGGGCGGGTTTCCAAATGGCTGGTAGGCAGGAGGTATCATCTCGTTTATTCATGCTGTGTGGGCATTTTTCTATCTCGATGGCTTCCCTGATTATTCTGTTGTTAAAGTGTTCAGTTTTGGCGATAGTTCTGGTCTTTTTAAAGTCAATTTCATGTCCTGTGGCTCTAAGGTGCTGGACCAGGGAAGAAGTTGGTTCCTCTTTTCTGACTGAGTTCTTGTGTTCTTCAATGCATCCACTTATTCTTCTGTTGGTTTGTCCGATGTATGTGGTGGGGCAGGTGGTGCATGGGATTTCATATACTCCTTGATTTTCTAACTCAATTTTGTCTTTGGGATTTCTTAGGATGGTGGATATTTTTCGGTTTGTGCAGAATGCTGTCTTGCTGATTCTGTCTGTGGTGCCTTTTATGTATGGGAGGAGGGCTTTGCCGTTCTCTTGTTCTCTGTCTTGGATTTAGTGGGGGGTTCTTTTTGGATTAGGTTGCTAATCTTATTTCTTTGGAATCCGTTGGATGTTAGTACGTTAGTGAGAGTGTGTAGTTCGGTTTTTAAGTGTTGTTCGTCACCTAAGCATTTTGTTCTGGAGATGAGTGTCTTGGCTATGGAGTTGATCTGGGCAGGGTGGTGGTGTGAGAGTGCGTGCAGATAGCGGTTTGTGTGTGTTTTCTTCTGGTAGATGGTGTGTCCTAGGGAGCCATTGGATTTCTTGTAGACTAAGACATCCAGGAAGGGAAGTTGGTTGTTAGCTTCTGTTTCCATGGTGAACTGTATTTTGGGGTGTAGGCTGTTGAGGTGTGTGAGGA